CTCCGAAAACCACTGTTTTTTAAAACAAAGATAAAGTAGGTTAGTCCAATCTCATCAGGAGTCATTATTCAGAGACATGAAATCTGCCAAATAATAACTATGTATTCATTGCTTAGTTTTAAAATACTCAACGTATGCACTAAATAAGTAAAATGAACATTATTTAATCAGTTTTACACTAAAAGGCAATGTTTTAACCTTCAAACATTGTATTACAGAAAAAAGCAGTAATGACTAAAATTCTAATATGTTACAATGAAAGTTGACCCATTGATAAACACAGTAAATTAAAAATAAGCCACTTAAATTGTCTAGATATTCAGATTAACATTTTTCTGTTCATTGAACAAATGACTTTGAAGATATTTCCCCACCTGACCTATTTAAATCATATTAGCATTCCCCCTAAAAATACATTTATACTCACATTCACTTGAACTTGAATGGACCAGTCACCAAGTATTGGATGGGATGACAATTGAAAAGTTTTGGAAACAACACCAAGATCACTTTGTTCTGACAACCACTGTTGGATCAAATTTGACTTGGGGTCCTACAATGAAAACCATACATGTTAACTGTATAAAGACAGCTTTGTACATGTGTATCCTATCTAGTTATGAATGATGCCCTGCAGCACTCCCAGGCACAACCAAAATACGGCAACAGAGATAGTTTTTGGAAAATGTTGGCTATATATTACTAGACAGAAGACAATCAAAATTTCTTCCTTCCTCACATTCTCCATCTTTATTCTGCTCCACCTTTTAATTCTTGGTACCAGATTTCCTTCTACATGGAAGACAATGTACACCACCAAACTTGTGTTGTTATTGTTAACTGTAGAGATCACAGGCCTCGTGTATTCAAGGCCCACCACGTGTCAAGCACTCTGTCTTATCATTACAACTCACATATCACTCAATCATTATAATTCTGGGCACCTGGGTGGCTCAGTTGGTTGAACGTCTGTTTTCCACTCAGGTCCTGGGATCGAGCCCCAGATCGGGCTCTCTGCTCAGTGGGGAGTCTCCCTCTCCCTTTCCCTCTGCCTGCCACTCTGCCTACTTGTGCTCACTCTCTGTCAAACAAATAAATAAAATCTTTAATAAAAATTTAAGAAAATCATTATAATTCTCCCCCAGGGGAGGAATGTCCTCACATTATAGCAGAAAACTGATTCCTAGAGAGGTCAGGTAAGCACTCAACTGTCAGTACTATGTGAATTCAGGATTCAAACCCATGTGCCTTTTAATCCAACAAAATGTATCACAGAGATGCTCAGCCAAGGGGATGCATGAAAAACATTTCAGTCTTCCTAAACTCTCCCAGACAACAATCCCCTTATGCAGTATTCATCCAAGCCAATCCAGCAGCCATCCCGGATTCCTCGCACATTCCCAGCCCTGTCAACTCCGTCTCTTTAATCTCTCTCTAATTTATCCCCTTCTTTCCATCCTCACATCCAGCCACCACGTCCCGTTTTCTAACCATTACCACTAATCTCCCTCCTCCAGTGTAGTCCCTCCAAGACATCTTCCCCACTGCCGACAGGGTTATCCATCTGAAACACAAACCTCAGACTGAGCCAAAGTGGTCAACATGCTTGGTTCAGTTCCAGACATACAACAGGCAGTGAAGACACCCTGGCTGTGATCATTACGCTGGACCACTAGGTGATGCTGGCTTTTGTTTGCCTACAGAATGAGGTCTACACTCCTTTACATGGTGTACGGAACTTAGGAGTCTGACTCCATCTACATTTCTACGCTCATCTTCCTCCAAACATACAGATTTGCTTGCAATTCACCCTTGCATCTAGGCCTCTATAGTTGCTGCATGGAATGCCCTCCCTTCCTGCCAACTGGTACAATCAGTTCCAGTGTCTTGCCTCCTATCCACACCGCCAACAGACGAAATGGCCACTTCCTGGAGAGCCCCTAGTACACCTAGAGTCTACCCCTTTTGAGACGTATTACTGTGTAAGGTACTCATGGGTGATATATGGGGTTTTTTATTCCCAACTAGACTGTGAACTCCTGAGAGTGGGGATCAAATATTTTCCCGTATTCTTATGCTCTATCCTTTGACTAGAGGCAGTGGGTTAGCCCAGTTACTAGAAGCCAGAAGAAACCTCTCTTCCTGAGTGGGGGAAAAGGTGAAAGTCAGAGGTAAGTACAATGCTGAGAATTGAGTAAAGCGTAGTCTAGTAAGCCAGAAACTAATTGTTAAAACCAAAGACCAAAAGCAAGTCAAGACTAGGCAGGTCACCATCCTTGGCAAACTCCTGGGACAGGCACTGTAATCAGCAGCCGGCTCTCCTGTGCCTGCCACAGCATGATGCATGGGAGACACACACACGAGCATTTAAACATGAGTTTAAGCAAAGGAAAAACTACAAATAGCTAATAAATATATGCTGCCTAATAATTAAGGGAATGCAAGTGAAAACAAACAAACAAAAATACCATTTTCTTCTGTCCATCTGACAAAAATAAAAAAATAACAATAATTCCCAGTGTTATATAAACTGTCAGAAAAGGAATGTTCGTACTCTGCGGGTGCATTATTTTGGTGAGGGTGCACATTTCTCCCGGGTGGGGCCACGGCCCTACAAGCAAAGAAGTCCTAAATGGAGTCTGTGATGACTTTGTACCCCGAGGATCTGGAGGGTTGGGAGTGAATGAGATAATTCACTGGTTGCTCAAGCCTGTCTTAGACCTAGACCTAACTGTCACCAAAAACAGACAGAGTGTAGAAACACCAGAAGTTTTCACATATCAGGATGTGCGCAGGCTATGAGTGGTGGTGTCAGAGCAGAACCCAGCATCTCCTGAGAGGTCCCACACAGGACAGCCAGGTACCATGTGAACCGTGTCCCTGGCACAGTCACCACAGCCACAAGCCAGAGGGGCTGCAAACGTGGCTCCTTGTGCCCTCTGAGTCACCTTTAGATGGCTCTGGATCTCTGTCAGGTGCCTCAGCTCAACGCAGTATCAGCTGCCTGGGCCAGACCATCTCCAGCAATAAGCTCCCTGGCTAGAGAATGTGTCCCCAAGGAGAATTTTTGCCACTCGTTAGAGTCCTGGATTATGTACCCAGGGTCTGTCCAGCATGTAGAACTGGAGAAGTCAAATCACTTAAACAAGGCGGCCCCCTCACCTCACCAGGGATGACACCCTGGTTTTGCCACAGCTCCTCCGGGCCACAATCACAAGACATCTCCCCAAGGCAACAACACCTCTCCCCAGGCAAGGTCATTCACCTGGACAAGGAGCAACACCTTCTTCAAGAAGGAGGTCAGGGCACAAGCCAGCTGAGCCAGCTGCCAGGCCACGGTCGAAGAAGCTTATTTCCATAGCGTTAGCCCAGGTTAGCTGGAGGAAGCCGGAATTAGGGCATGTTTTTACCACTGCCAAAGGGCTCTGAAGGCCCTTTCTTCCTGAGAAAGTCAGTTACTGAGGCAGGCAAAATGAGTAACACCCAATAACCAAAAAAAATAAAAATAAAAAATAAGACCAAAAAAAACCCCACTGATCACCCCTGAATATGCTGTGACAATCAATATTTTAGCTACATCCTACAGCCGTTCTTTTTCTTTTACAACTTAGCAATCTGACAAGTTCACACCTTACGCTGCGTTCACCACAAGTATATCTACCATCTGTCCCGTTACATTGTTACATCTGTCCCGTTCCACCGTTATTGACAGTATCACTGAGGGTCTTGACTGGGCCAGAGGGTCCTGAGAAGTCAGCCTCCTAGCCATCAGATGCACTTCTCCACCAGAGCCTGCAGGTGGTGCTGTACTAGGAAGTACAAATGGATTCACGTCAGGGGCTCTTTTGCTAAGTTCTACTTTTTTCTGGGAAGTTTTGCCAAGAAACCAACTATTTCACACTCAAAAATGGAGAAAACATCACAGTCTGGCCCAAATGACTGTTTTCAGATGAAGGAGGACAGCAGTGTGGGCATCAAAAGTCCGATCTGGCCGCAAGTTACAGGGAAGGAGGAGGCTGGACCTGAGTTCATACCCCAGCCTCATTGCCTAGATGCACAGAGCAGAGGATGGCTTCCCGCCCAGTCACCTGTGCCCAAACACTCTGGGTTCCAGGTGGATTTCTAACAAGTGTAAACTCCCCTCCCTTGGCCAAGAGGGCCACATCTTGGCCAGGCCACTAGGACCAGAGATTTCTCTGAGTGCTTCTGAGAAAGTCAAATGTGGCAAGCTAAGTTCAAAATTGGAGAGAAGAGCCCAAGAGTACAAATTGAAGGTTTCAAAGGCAGATCCTAAAGCAGCATAGAGAAGCAAAATAATAAAAATGCACAGACCAGCACAGTTCTAAATGCTTTACTTAAATTATCTCACCTAATCCTCAAAAAAACTCCTGTAAGGAATTTGTCCAGCATCTGCAGGGTTATTTCTGGATTAATGCCTAAAGCAGGCAATTTATCCAGTGCTGACTTTTATTACCACAGGTAGAACGAGGCCGACTGGATAGAAACAGCCAGAAACAGGAAGATGCTGATTTGAAAGATGGTATGAATGCAATCCATAAAACCCTGCTTAGAGAACTACTTGAATTTAGAAATGCTATTCAGTGGGGTGCCTGGGTGGCTCAGTCTGTTAAGTGTCTGCCTTCGGCTCAGGTCATGATCTCAGGGTCCTGGGATCGAGCCCCATGTAGGGCTCTCTGCTCAGTGGGGAGCCTGCTTCTCCCTCTCCCTCTGCCTCTACCTGCTGCTCCACCTGTTTGTGCTCTCTTTCAAATAAATAAATAAAATGAAATAAAATCGCTAAAAAAAAAAAAGAAATGCTATTCACTATGTCAACCTCCTTTATAGACATTCCAATACATAGCAAAAGCGGAAATTCACAGAGCTGCAATTCTTGGAAATTCAAGAAATATGCATTGAGCACCATGCTGACCAATGTTGTATTTATTACAAACACAAATTGGTTTGAAGTTCGCTTGATTTTTGTTTGCTTTTTAGTTTAATTTATAACAACAAAGAAGTTAAAAAGAATAAGAAGATACTGAACTAAAAAAGCCTGAACTTGACTTCCATTCCATGGTATTCATCAGAATCCTTGGGGTAACCAAGAGGGTTCCCAGGACCAGTGACTTTCGGTTGTAATACCAAGAGAGTCCCAGGAAAACTGGGATGGGTTGTCACCACCCTATTTCTATGTAGTGATCAAATGTCTCATATTCTCCTTAGCATCAATGTAGAAAAGCAGGTCCAGCTGGATCTCAATTGTCTTCAACTTGGTTCTCACAGGAAAGCATTCAGTCTAACTATGCTGCCTCCAGATCCTCAGTGTTGTTGGAGCTGAGGCCAAATGACTCCCTGCCGAAGGAGAGTCCCATAAACAGAAAAGCTAATGTTCAGTGAGCATGTACTATGTGGCAGGCATAATTCTACGTGCTTTCCTTGGATTATCTCACAGAAACCTTTGTGAGACATTATTATTATTACGCATTTTATTTTTTTTACTTTTTTAAGATTTTATTTATTTCTTTGACAGAGAGAGACAGCGAGAGAGGGAAC